AGTTTAGCTCTAACTAATTTGTCCTTTTATCAAATCAGATCAGTTGTAGTTCATCAGCCTATGACATCATCCATTCTATGTCAGAATTACAGTGCTATGGAGAATCAAAGCTAAGGTGCTGTGGCTGGGATGGGAGATTGTTTAGACTTCTCTCAGTCCCCAAGCCTCAAACACTTACAAATTCAGAGGGCATGTCTGGTTTTGCCAGAGTGTGTCTAGATGCTGTTCCTTGCCCTATTACTGCATATAATCAGTTAAAGCTGAAGCGTGAAAGCTTAGATTTTGTAATTTCACACCTTCTTCAGTTACCACAGGCAGAGCAAAACATTGTGGTCTAGGACATCCATGCCTGTTTAGATTGCCACGCTTAAATAAGCATAAAATTAAATGAAGGGGAAAGAAAAATAGTTAAGATATAACTCTTGGGCTTCTTCTGTGTCAGAAAGGCCACATTCCTTCAACATAGTCTTTGCATATGGCATTCTGTTTTAGAAATCTGGTCTCTGTTCTAACCAAAAGGCCCAAGCAAAGGTTGGCTGCTGTTTTCACTGTATACAAATCTCAAACCCTACACAAAGCCAGATTAATATGATTTGTATATTTAACAAACCCTAAAGTCTAAACTTTTAGTAAGGTAATATGCTTTGAACGGCAAAAACACTATATCTGTGTGGCACTTGGAGAACCAGAAAGTTCAAGACTTAGCACTTTCTGAAGTTTTTGCTTAAAAAAAACACCTATTTTATCAGATTAGTTTCTACTAAGCTGTAAAGAATCATCTTTTGCTTTCAACAGCACAAGTTTAGAATTCCGCATTATTCATTATTTAATGAATGCTGAAGTTAAAAATGACATGAATGTTTGCAGGGACAGAATGAGACACATCCATCCCTAGGAAATGAAGAGTTATTTCTGGTTCAGCCCCTGAGCCCTTTCTTCTCAGGCTGCTCCTAGCAGTCTGGCTGTGGAAACTGAGGAAAAAGAATGCTCTATGAGAGAGAAATACGGTTGTGCAATGAAAATGGGATGAATACTAAATAAAGGTTGTCCTATGTTTATATGAATTTCTATTATAAACATTATTTCTAGGGAAAGGCCATGCTTCTTGTGGCTACTCCTTTGCCAAATTCTTTCGTACCTTAGGTGTACAACGAGTGCAGCCTCTTGGTTATGATGATTTCTCATCGTATGAAAACTTGGAGCACAAATGATGGATTTTGTTAGTTTTACCTTGGCTGATCCGGAATTGCCCTCTAGTAGTTCCAAAGAGATGGTGAGCAGAAATCCTTGCTGTGTCAAAGCCAGCAATCCTTTTGTGTCAGTATCAGAGAAGTAATCCATCAGAAAATGAGCTTGGCTTGAGCCTTCCTGGCTCTGTTGTTCGTTATGATACAGTGTGAAAGGGTTATTGCCAAGTCTCATTTGCATGGTGTGTACGGCAGAGGGGCAGAAAGAAAAAGCAGTGCATTGTATTCTGTCTTGATCTCACTTCAAAAGTCACCTATCTATTTGCAATTTAGCTTTTAAGGTATGTTAAAATGTTAGACTCTGGTAATAGTTGTAGGTGGACAGAGCTCAGCTGAAAACTGAGACAAAGCCTACAGATAACCTGTAATAACCATCTGAATTCAAGTCCACAGCTTGGGTCTAAATTTACAGAACACATGGTTTTAACCCAGAGAGGCTGGGAATCAGTCTGCGCTCTTGAATTTGAGTCCCCAGGTTTGGGTTCTGTTGTATGTGTACAACTACTGGCTCTCATACATCAGTGAAAGCTCTTCATTATGCAAGAGTAGATGTGAATTTAATGCCACTCTCAAACCTTTGCAACAGATTTGGATGATATCTGACAGCCAGAGATTCATGTTACTAACATAAGCTTGACAAAATATTTTAGAACGACATAAACTTGCAGATGGTCCTGTTTTACTGGACATGTTGTTTATAATACATGAGATAGACAAATGTTGTGCTTTTTTCCTTGCAAAAGTGCCCATAGTCTTACATGTTTTTATTTTAAAAGGGAAATGCTTAAAGCTGATTACTGAATTATGTTCCTTTGGCTGCCTCTTCTTATTCATGTTACATGGAAAATAAGAACCATAATACATCAATTTTACGAATGTTAAATGCAATTCCATAAAAATGGTGTGAGAATCTTTGTCACTTGGCTGTTTCCCAAGTATGGTCTCGTTGATGCTAAGAATTTTTTTCTCATGCCAAGAGTAAAATTCTAACCCGACATTGATGCAACTGAAGTTAAGTCACTCGCTGACCTGAGTTCAGTTTAGAGAACTATGGTGATCAGAAATGATTAACAGCAAGTTTCCATGGTTCATCTTAGGCTCAGCTGCTTAGTAGGCTGTGGTGGGTTTGCCAAGAACTAACTGCTCAAAGGTTAGCAAGCAGGTGTAACAATTTTTCAAATACAAAGTATACTTTTTATTCATAAAATTAATAGAAATAGATGACGGCAAAATTTTAGTAACATATATTTATACCTAATATATATTTTAATTTATTTTGAAATAATCACAGAATCACAGACTGGTTTGGGTTGGAAGGGACCTTAAAGCTCATTCAGTTCCAAACGCGCATGGACACCTTCACTAGACCAGGTTGCTCCAAGCCCCGTCCAGCCTGGCCTTGAGCACTGCCAGGGATGGGGCAGCTACAGCTTCTCTGGGCACCCTGTGCCAGTGCCTCACCACCCTCACAGTAAAGAGCTTCCTCCTAATATCTAATGTACATCTGCCCTCTTCTAATTTAAAGCCATCATTAATTCAATCATTCAGTCATTGAATAACACATTTATAAAAAAATAAGTCAACATGGTATGATGGTGAAAAAAGGAATTAGATAAATTTAAGGATTTGTTATCAGCGGTGCCTATTAAGGAACCTGTGAATTGCCATCTCTATCACATGAAGAACACATTCCTCCGTCCCCCTCCCAAAAAGAAGCCTTAATAAAAGCTCAATTAATGGGATAAATACGTAATTGCTCTTATTTTTACTTTTTTTTTACTTAAGCCTCCACTAGTGGTCACTGTTGGGGAAAGGGCACAAAGTCAAATGCCGTTTAGGGCTGCTGCTGATTTTGCACAAGAGTCATCTCTTTTGAGTATCATGGAGCTTTTATTTTTTGGGTTTTCAGTTTTTTTTTCCTTCTATTTCTATTTCTATTCTATTTCTAAATGAACGGATTCCCAAAAGGAGCGAGGAAGTGATAGGAATGAAAAAGAAAATTCACAGAAATGCTCTAAAAAAATAAATTTGTTGACAGGCAACATATATGTGTCTACAGCTGTCCTGGGTTCAGCAGTAGCAGTCATGTTTCTCCGGGAGAGCCCGGGGGGGGGGGCTCGATTGCTGTCAGCCCAGCAACACTCACTGGGAGTGAGCGAACAAGTTGCCTGACTGGGTTTAAACCACGACAACAGCACAGCTTAAAATGCTACCACAGTATTGTTTAGAGAAATAAATAGTATTGATATTAAATGTTTTTAATGCATGCTTCATATTCTAGCTATTGCTTCCTTTCTGCATAGAATCTACGTGGCTTGCATGGGTTTCTTGACTTGGTGAGAGATTTGCTCTCCTTCACCTGCGCAATCTTAGTTTCTTGGCTTTTCATCACAGTCCACTGTTGTCTATCCATGTCCCTGTCTGAGGTGGGGTAAAAAATTAAGATGAAATTCAGAAACTTCATTGGGTTCATTATCACCACTGGAAAGCCCCCCAGTCTAAATACTCTTATTTTTTTCCCCACAGAATCCAACCACATTATTGCTCATTAATGTGAAATGTGGGAAATGAAGCCCTGCTATATTGCATTTAAGTGGAACTGTCTTAAGAAAAAGCACCTCAGGCCATTTTCCAGAGCACAGACTTTGGCACCAGAGCAGTACAGAGCAGTGCATGGAGCTAACACTGAAAGAGGGCAGCTGTGCCCCCTTCCCTCCTGCTCCACAGCTCCCCAAACACCCCAGCCATGCTCCCGTTCTGGTAGCAGCCATCAGTGCCTGGGAATCTTAGAAGGGCCGTATCAGCTACTGATCAGCCAGATCTGGAAAGCCCTGCTCTGGATGACTTGATGTGTAGACATTAAAAACTGTAATGGAAAGGAGGGAAGGGGATCCTTGTGTTGATGGTTCCAGCAGCTTCTGGTGGGAGCTGTGCTGGCAGACCTGCCATGGTTTCTCCAAGCTGACCAGAAACTATTCAAACTGAAACACTGACATGGTTCAGTGGTGGTCTTGGCAGTCTTTAGGTAAAGATTGGACTCAATGATCTTAAAGGTCTTTTCCAACCCAGATGATTCTATGATTCTATGTTAATAACTCCCTTATGCGTTCTGTGTAGAAAGAGGTAATGGAAAACATGACCATCCCTATTTACTTCTGGGAAAGCATGCTTAGAGCAACGGACACAAACTATGGACCCGGGATGGTGTAGAAGGAATGGGAATATGGGGATTTCAACAAAAAACCTGAGGTAACTCTCGTGTCCTCACAGTCCCTCATCCACGAGGTGCCACTCATGTGCCGAGGCGCCCGCAGCTCCTCAGGGCCTACCCCACCGCTCAACCGCCCACTGTGGAATCACCTCAGCCCTTCCCGCCGCCCGGCTCCTCCCAAGATGGCGGCGGCCCCGCCCCGCGCGGGCGGTATCACGGAGCCCGTCCCCCGGCGGTGGGGTGTATGATCGCCTCGGTGTGCAGAGAGGGTGGCGGCCAGGCGCTGGGGCGGCAGGCGGAGTGGAGGGCGCTGGGTGAGCAGTGCGGTACCGGTTGTGTCCCGGCTGGTGGGTGGTCGGCGGCTGGGGCAGGTCGGGGACGGAGAGGGAAACTTTCCACGCGGAGTAATTCCCCGCTGGGGCTCCGGCCGATTTTTCGCGGCCATGTTGTGAGCCAGGGGTTGCCTGGTGGGGAACGAGCTCCGCCGGCGGGAGGCGGCGCTGGGCTCCGCTGGCGGCTGCCGTGCGGGGCTGTCCCGCTGGGGCGCTCCCAGCCGCCCGCCCGCGGTGGTATTGCTGCTTCCCGCCGCCGGGAGGGAGGCGGCAGTGAGGGGAAGGATCCGTGGAGGAGAGGGGCGGCGGTTGGCGCTGGCTTGTCCCAGGGCTCTGCGGGAGTTGCGGGGTCTGGGGAAGGAGCTTGGGGGGAAACAACAGTGGCCCCGCCGTGTTACGTAAGTGCCCGAAACTGCCCAACTCGTGACCGGCGCCGAGGCCCGGGCGGCGGCCGCTTACTGTGGGGTGGAGGGACGGGACGGGACGCGTCTGGCTGGGGCGGAGGGCGCTTCCTTCCCTGGCGGCCCTGCGGCGCACCCCGCCGCCGGGTGAGCGCTGCTAGCCGTGCCCAGCTCGGAGCGAAACCCCTGCACAGTCTTGGTGCTGTGGTGCAAAGAGAGCAGCGGAACCGCGAGCGGCGTGAGGTGCTGGGGTGTTTTGCTGTGAAACTCGGTTAGGAGAGGAACGTGACTGCTCTGCTGAAGACATATGTGGCTGTTGTCTGAAAGCGGCTCAGGAAAACACAGCCACATGGTTTTCCTCTCGTCTCATTTGAAGTCCTCTGTGCACAGACAGCGATGTTTATAAATGGAAAAATTGCTCGTCTTGGCAAGGGAGCGCTGGGAGAGCGGGCGGAGCAGCGCGGCCGGGCACCGGCTTTGTCCCCGCGCCGTGAAACTGCTGCCGCGCAAGTTTTAACGTCGAGCGGCAGTGCAGCGAGTGCTGATAACCAGACAGACCTGTTATATCTTAAAGGACTCCTTTGCCTGGATTTTGATTGAATTGAGTGGTTCCAGAAGCATCATTAAGTCCTAACTAGGGGTCCAGTGTGCTGAGTAGTTACTGTAGGGTTTGATGCTTATTTGACATACTACATCCGAGGCTGTAGTGTGCGTAACAGCTTAAGTTCGGATGAGGTTAATGCAGTAGGCAAAGTGAGTCTAAAATCAAAGTCACAGCGCTAGGATCAGTTTCAGAACTGAGATTGCCATTTCCTATTTCCAAAAATAGAGAGCTTCCAAGACTTGTTTATTATTTTAGGGATGGCTACCTGAAAGAAGGGAAGTTTTTAAAGATAACACTGTAATCAGTGCTTAAACCCTATGAATGATTTGCTTTGTAAGCAGTCATCAACATGCAGAAAGGAATTGGTTCTTTAGCCCAGAAAGCAATGTTCTTGCTTTTAACCTATATAATCTAAGTATTATTGATTAATTGAGTGAGAAATAAGAATCCCTGTGTAGTTAAATGTCGTGTATATCAGCTCGGTTTGTTAAATAACATTTTCCTAAGTGTTCTAGTGCTGTGCTGCTAGTGCTATAACAGCAGTGAAAGTGAAGTGTTGTGAGACTGAGTCCTGAATTCTCGTTTCTGAATGCAAATCAGCCACATGCCTTTTGGAGTGTGTTTTGCTCTGCACAGAAACACACATAAGGAGTCCCTTAAATGCTAAATGAAAATGGGTGAGTAGAAATTTGGAGCTGGAGAAGCTGGATCAGCTTTCTCTGCCTTACTCTCCAGAAGGAGACAGAGTAGTGTCTTTTCACCTAGAAGCAAGTTTTCACTAGATAAAGTGATGAAATAATTCTTAGCAAGAGCTGTGTTCTGTTTCCTTTACATTATGGGCTAAGGCTTAACTCTAGTATTATGTACATTCCTGGACTAATAGAAGATTTGCCTGTAATATCCTGAAGTGCTTTAGTTTACAGAAAATATAATCGGTAAAATGGTTGTTTAATTCAAACAACGCAGTGACTTAGGTTTCACTGTTAGGGTTAGTGGATGTGGAAGATTCCAGAGCAGTAAAGAGAGATGGAACTGCAGTCTCAGGTGAGGCGTGATATGGCAGAGTTTGGCCACATCTCTTAGCAATGAATACATTTCTTAGATGTTGGTAGGTAAGAAAGTTGACCTCTTGAATTTTTTTTTTTTTTTATTAAGAAATTAAATCTTACTCTCTACTGCTTCAGGTTCTAAAGGTACATTTGTGGTTTATTCCAAGCTCTGTTAATGTTCATACTTACTTTTCTATTGATGTAATTTTTAAAAATTATAGATGATGCCTGTATATTTTACTGCTTTCAGGGATTAATTCAGTAATTTGATACAAGTTTGATAATCTGTACATTGTTCTGAAAGAGAATATGTAAGATAAAAAAACCCCACGCTTTTGAAATAGAACGGTGTAGGTAAAACTTTCTCCCTTTCTAGGTTTGTAGAATACCTTTGGTTGTCATGATTTAGCAGAGGACTTGTTTTTACAGTTGAGGGGAGTAAAAAGCTACTCTGTAGGTAGGTGTGGTGGAACATGTTTACTGTGCTACAGATTATTTTGATGTCGTAAGCTATAAGATGTGATGAAAGCTGTGTTGGCAAGTAGAGTCCTGCAGACTGAGCCACATGAGTAGTCTTGTTGAAATAAATGAGTCTGCTCACATGAGGAGTGGCTTGATGGAGAGTTGTAGGACAGAGATTCTCCTTTTAGGAAAATAAACATTATTGTGCGGAAGTGTTACTGAACAGAAGAGTACTTGATGTTTTTCAGGCTGCCACTTTAATACTACATAGTCAAAAATGCGCTCATATGTTTACTTTAAATTTTAAAGTTACGTTACTAGGCAAGAGTGTTGCCACCTTGGACATAATGATGCTTTATATGGTGGTGTGGTTTTTTTTTTAGCCTGTTAGTGATTGTAAGTAATTTAAGGATTAAAATAATATTTAGGAGTGGCTTTTTTTTTTTTCCTCTTTGCATCATTATGTTTTGCAGCAAAACAGTGTTAAGCATATTGTGTATGTAATATAGCAGGATTTGGGCATTTTGTACAAGTGTAAAAGAAGAAAAAACAATTGAAAATTAAAGATTTCAAATAGAGGAATGTTCTCTCTATATCCCCTCCACCTCCTGTTCCTGAATGTAAGACCACATTCAAGCAGTTAGTTACTGCAGTGAGATGCAATGCTTTGAGAAGCTATACTGATTGAAATAGATTCAGGGAGGTTTCTAGATGTATCCAGTCATGCTGTCAGCAGCTTTAGTTTTCACTAGGTACCTCTTGTACCTCAAGTGGTATATATTACCTACAGGTAATTGTTTTGCTTTTAAGTACATAGCATGCCTTCTGCAAAAGGAAAAGCTACAGCATGTTCTTTGACATTTACATTTCTAAAGTGTATGCATAATTTGTTAATGCAAATAAATATTAAAGAGTGCACCATACACACTGCTGTTCAGGTTGTCAGGCAGCATCTTTCTCAGAACAGTTTGCTGTGCAGGTTAACTCCAGTGCAGACCTTTGTGCAGTTCTCAAGGTTTCATGTAGATCATGTCATCTTTGCTATGCAGTAAGGGCCTGAGAGCAAAGGAAAATGGCCTGTTAGATGGGACTCAGGGGGAGCACGAGCCCCTGCGGTATTCTGGGTGCTGTTTATTGCACTTGGAGGTCTGGTTTGTGCTGAGTGCTCTAATGTCTGTACTCAAAGTGCTTTCTCTATAACTTTAAAATGCATCAAATGTATTTGACAAGCAGTAAAAGGCAAAAAGGCCAGTGAGTGCATTTCCCAGGAAGGCCACCTACAGTAAGCTGCTGTGATTATGGGGTTGTTTCAGGAAATGACCCTCCCCCCCCCCCTTCTGCTTTAAATCTCTCCTAACTTAGCTGTGAATTCTCAGTCATGTAAAACTTCTGAGACTGAGTTTTAGTGCACTTCTGTTCTGAAGGCTGTGACAGTGAGATTTTGGTTTTGTTAATTTTTTTTTTCTCTTCCCTCTTTCCCATTCTGATCTAGGTTAGCAGCATGGAGGCACATGGACTGCCCTTTTAACACACAGGTTTCTGGCTGAAAAGCTGGTTACACTGAAGATTGACAAACTTCGTTTACCATTGCTAAAGCTTTCCTTTTTGACAATGGCTGTCAGATGTTGGGTTTTTTTTTTGACCATCTTTCACTAGGTATTTGTTATAAAAAGGGCTTATGTCCCTTGCTCAAGAAAGAGCAATTCAACACTTGGATTATTGGCTTATGTATTTTAAATTGCAGGTTAAATACATTTTAAATATTGCTGGGGGTGACAGTGACAGGTCCATGATTACAGCACTTCAGTGTTGTCCAGTTTCCTGAAAATCACAACATGTGCTTTGATTCCAAGCCCCAAGCTGTGTTTCAGCCCCTTGTTTCTGCTGTGCTGGAGGTTGCAGCATGGTGACAGCCCTGCTGTGCACATGGCTGCTGGGGCCTGAGACTTTTTTTTGGTACTGATTTAAGCAACTTGTTTCAGGAGGTTTAAATGGTAGCAAAAAGAATCCCTGCAGCCTGCCATATGTGCCCTTAGTCTGTTCGTGCTGGTAAACTAGTGCTAGAAATTGCTTGACTCTCTTTTTTTGTAAGGAGTTAGAAGCTTAAGGAACTAAGTATGTCTGAATATTCTGGTTTTCCTGCTGTAATATAGAAAATGTGCTGTAGAAGTGCTTTGTCTGACCATGCTAGTTAGTGGCCAGCTGCCTTGCCTCCTGAAAGGCTTTCTGCAGTGTAAAGCAGCATGAGGTTTTCCCCCTGAAGTGGAGATTTCCGAACTTATTTAGGTTAAGAGCCAGCAGCAAGTTGAGGTGACTGCACCTGGTCAGAGGAGAAGGCTGGGTGTTATTACTTGGCTTGTGTTTTGTTTAGTTTTGTGGAAATGCTTGGAATTAGTGAGCTGATAAAAGAAACCTCTTCATTGCGAATCTTCTCTTCCTGTAACAACAGGATACGTGAATTTAAAGGACACACACATGGGGAAATAATACTGATATGATAAAAATGAGATAGTGATGATGTGGTTATGCTGCTACGCTTGTAAACTGAGACTGCCTGGGAAAACTTTACATTTAGGTAGTATATTTTAAAACAGCAAATTCCTATTGTGTTGCAGATATTTGTAGGTAATTAATAGCTCTTGCCTAACGTTGACTACTTGGTGACTCATAGCTTGTTCATGCTATAATCAATCACCTATAGCCTGGTCCTTGTTAGACTGTTAAAGTTCAGTATATGATTATAGTAGTGAACTAAAGACAACTTAAAACAGAAAACTTTTTTTTTCCTAACACTAACTGGTTTAGGTACCTGTGCACCTTAAAAAGGTGTAAGCCAGTGAACGAAGTCAGGCATGTCATTAGTCTATGCATTCATGAAGAAA